GTCCTAGAAGCAGAAAACTACATGGAGTCAAGTGTTACTCAACATAATAAGGCCAGTGCTCAGTCCTCTTAGGGGATCAAGAGGTGGAGTCGCCTATTGTCTTCAACCAGGACAGAAACCACTCCCTCTTCCCCCAGGCACGAAGTATATCAAGACAAAGCCCTGGCCTGTGTGGCTCTGTTAGTTGAGTGTCAACCGGTGCACCGAGAGGTCACCAGTTTGTTCCCGCTCAGGGCACATACCCAGGTTGCAAGTTTGATCCTGTCTGGGTGCTTATGGGATGGAATTGCTGTTTCTCTCTCCCTCTCCCTTCCTCTCTCTCTAAAAGCAATAGAAACATATCTTAAAAAAGAAAAGAAAAATATCAAGACATAATTCTGATATCCCGTCCAAAAATAATGCTGTGAACCAATGAGCCCTGCTTCAGTTATACCTCTGTACATATGGGGAGACCACTTTGGAGGACAATCTCTTTGACAAGAGACATTTTGTAACATCAGGCAGTGTCTTCCTTACTGTGTTCCTCCTATTATACATAAAGACCTGAAGCAAAGCAAATATAAGGAATATTTTTCAAATTGTTACCATGTTTGCTCTAAACTGTGTGGCACATTCTCTCCGATTGACAGGAATGGTAAGAATGGCTTCCATTTGCTACAAGGAGCCAAGCCCCAGGCTCAGGGCTTCACCTTATTATCATAAAATCTTATGAGACCATAGTTATTATTCCCATTTTATAGACGTGGAAACTGAAAAAACCAAAGCCACAAGCTACTAAGCAGTGTTGCCAAAATTCAATCTTAGATCTATCAAGCTACAAAACCTATCCTGTAAGACTGACATACGCAGTGTTCTGACATAGAGCTGCCTATAAGTAAATGATGCTTACTAGCTTCAGGGGGAAAGAAAAGAAACTTATTAACAGATAAAAATTAGACACTTAAAAAACAAACTGTTCGTTAATATATGACAAAATACTACTCTTTTATGAGATTAAGTAATCTGTACCTATCCGATATTATATGCTGTAAACAGATTAAAAAGGAGATAAGATTAAATGTTGCAATAAAATGTCAGGGTAGGACAATTAACACCAGCCAGGTAGTATAAGCCTTCCAAATACCACTAATCATTTTAGACACATTAATCTGGTAGTGGTGTAAAGGGCGAATGGAGAGCATGGGGGTAGATAGAGGCGAACCAGGAAGGCCAGTTAGGATATCACAAAAACTCGGGTATGAGCTCCTTACAGTAGAATAAGTGAATGTGGGGGGGCCACTAGTCAACCCACTAAATCACGTAAGAAATGACATAGGCCTGACCTAAGGTAGTGGCCATGCAAATAGAGAGAAAAGGGGGGAGAAGTCCAGAGAGATTCCTTGTTTTCCAGCTTGAGTACCATGTTGGTACCAGCTCAGATTAGACATTCCAAGCAGAGGGAGCCTTCTTGTGGTCCTGGTATTACCAAGTTCTTCAAATAATAACTACTATTTTTGAGCATCTGTTCCTTAACATGTCTCTAAAACTCGCAATAACCCTGTGAAAGAGATTACAGCTGAGAACACTGAGCCCACAGGGGTAAGGAGCTTTCCCAGAATCGCTCAGTTTGGAACAGGTGAAAGGTGAGGGAGACGGGGTGAGTGGAGAATATGGGACAGAGCCCTCTCAAGTGAAAGGGATTTTATCTTCCTTGGCCAGTATTTATAGCAGGAAATGGTTTAAGAGTAATAAAATCAAGGCAGGATAGTAAAGTTCCTTAAATTACTATTTTTTGGAAACTATACATTGTCACTAACATGGTTTACAAGGAGATATTCACAAAGCAAATTAGACATTTTCTTTCCTCTAAACCTTTGTATGTGTGAGTCTCCTATTGACAAATCAAGGAATCCTGTCCATCAAATAAAAGTTGTAAAAACTAAGCTGTCAAAATTCAGCCATCCCTAAACTTGGCATCCATCTACCGAACCAACTGCTGGATGGCCCCCCCTCCTCACCTTTTCACTGAGCAAACACCGTCCATCAGCTCTTGGCGTCTGGGAAACTTCTTCTGATCCTTGTTAAAGAAAATTACAGCCCAGCAGGCATGGCTCAGAGGTTGAGCATCGACCTAGGATCCAGGAGATAGAGATTCGATTCCCAGTCAGGGCACATGCCCGGGTAGTGCCTCGATCCCCAGTAGGGGGTGTGTAGGAGGCAGCCGATCAGTGACTCTCTCATCATTGATGTTTCCCTCTCTCTCTCCCTCCCCCTTCCTCTCACTGAAATCAATAAAAACACATTTTTATTAAAAAAGAAAGAAAATTATCCAAGACACAAAAATAAGGCAAAAAATAACTATGTAGACCTTTTAATGCCATGCTAGACATGCTCTGCTAGACATGCTCTAATAAGCCCAGTTGGGGGTCATCTCTTTTGGGAAATGTAACTTGGTTTCACTTAATATCACGATTAGGGCAATGACATTTTACAACTCTGTAAAGTCAGAAATTTAACTCCTAAAAAAGACCGATAAAGTGTAATTATTTTTCTTTTCTGTTTAGCAGCAAAAATAATCCCCCAAATCACAATTTATAGCATTATAGGACATTGATTAGTTTTGTTCCTAGGTTAATAATCTTTACTAACATGTTATTCCCTAGTGACTTTTTAATTCCATTTTTTGTGTTCTTTTTGAATCAGTTTTCTCATTCTGCTAGTTTATTCCTCAATAATAAGGTAAAGAAAACTTGAACGCATGCTCACTTTTTCTATGAGAATTAAGCCAATAATTTGGAAATGACTAGGTAAGAATTGGGCCTCCAACCCTATGCCAAGTACTTCTATAGCAATCACTGCTGTAATGGCTTGTTTGCCTGCCTCTCTGCCAGACTTCTACGGAGTCAGTGAATATTTGTCTTATGCCCCACTGCTGTCTCCAGAACACAGCAAAAGAGTTATTCCAGAGGATGAACTCAACAAAAATTCCTGAATGAGTTTTTTACCCAAATGCCTCAGAGGCCTTTCTCCCATTCTACTCCTTTGTCTGTCACAATCTCAAACTACTGCATCTTTTCAAACTTGACAATGGTTCTCTTCACTACCTGCAGCCTCTTTCAAAAGTATCAACTTATTATCTAATGAAATGATAGGTTTTTCTCTCAATGGCAGACATACAGCAGAGTTTAGTCCTGACAAGATAAAATTCACATCTGCCTGAGCATCAGTAACCTTCAAAAATAAATTTTAATAAAAATCAGTACTACCACTTTGAAGGGGAAAAAATGTCAGTTTTTATTAAGGATAGAAATTGGTTACACAACTAGCATATTATAAGAAGAGTGCTGTTAAGCAAACTCTGAAATGGACAGCCATATGTAAAAACACCTGAAATGCATCCTCTTCTCAAGCAGATACTGTACCTGTCCCTTAAATCAATTAGTACTCAATTTCTATCTGATCAGGGAAGGAGACTCACTATTCTGATCCAGTTCTTTATTGAAAAACTGTTCTATTGGTATTAAATATCTGGTAACAATGAAAGCCTTAGTAGGTATCAAATATAACTCTGCCAGTTATTAATGTATTGATTCAGCTTTAAACGCATCTTATGTGCATACTCTGTAAAAACAGATTTGGTCCTTTAGAAGATATTTCTTTTGTAGCTGACAGAATGCTCAGCTTTGTCAGTAGAGGGCTCCAGAGAAACGTTGCAGGAGAAGAGTCTTGTTCTTGCTTCAGCGTGTTCAATTCGCAGGCCACCCAGAATCCAGCCCCCCCAGTGCCCAGCTGCAGCAGCAGGGGCGGCTTCTCCAGCCTCAGGCCCATGCTCATGGGCAGCCTCCCCCGTGTTCAGCCCGACACGCAAGTCCTCACCAGCACTCGGTGCCTGCGGTGCCACAGCGGCCAGCAGCACCCAGTCACTAGCTGCTCCCCGCAGCAAACCCTTCAGCCATTTTTTAATGGAGCGCCCTCAGCACCCTAGACGATGGATTTCTGGCAAGATCCCCTGGTATTAGCCCTCCCAGCGAGGACTGGCCCTCAGTCCTGGGGGCAGAGGTGGGCTGAAGAGTTCTTCCTTGGATGCTCTATCTAAACTGCTCCTTACCTCTTTTATTCCTGTATTTTTTAGAGTTCTCTCTATTTCTTGCTAGTCATCTCATTATTCCAACCCCGTTATAGTTAACAATTCCTTGTATTACACTTCCCCTGTTCAAATAACCGTGTGCCTTCTCTCTCCTGAGTGGGCGTGGACTGAGACAAACTCCTAGAAGCAAAATAAGAATGAAGCCCCCTTTTAACTCAAAGAGACTTTATTGGGTGCTTGATATAAACAGCAGTTTCCCGTGATAAGCGTTTACCCATACAGAAACGAAATGTCGTATTTAAAGAAATAGAAATTACTTACATATTTGGGATTTAGATGGCTGAGAAAAATGAAAGCACGCAAAGGGTTTTCTTAATCTTTTCTACTGATATAAACCCAATTATCATCAACGTGATCGTTTACTTATACAAGACATATACATTTTATTATCTTAGGAGGGTCTCTGCAGTGGTCCAACTACTTAAAACGAGCTTAATCCCAAGTTAAATTCAGGGTAGTCAGACAACTCAGTGACGTACAGGCCCTGCCTTGCCTTCTTCACTGAAGAATTTTCAGTCTTTCTTTCATCTTTAAGGGAAGTCTTCTCAATTGTTTAAGGCAGACTGTAGACTAGTTCCATAAAAGAGAGAAGCCCAGGACAGTGATGAAGAGCAAGGGCAAGTGACATTACAGCGGGCACTTCAGGTTCCTCGTCTGTGAAAAGGACATCAAGACCGCACCTGCCTCAGAGTCGCTGTCAGAACCGAATGAATGAAGGGATGTAAAGCCCTTAAAATGATGCCTGGCAAACAGTGTTTGTTATCCTTTTTGTATTAATAAACATTTGATTTATTTTTCTCTTAGTTCCATATGTGAAAATTGACTTTTAAAATATTTTTCAATTACAGTTTGCTTTCAATATTATTTTGTATTAATTCTAGTGTACAGCAGAGTGGTTAGACAATCATATACTTTACAAAGTGATTTGCCCCAATATTTCCAGTACCCATATTATTATTCTTATCATCCATGATTTAGCTACTCCAATGTCGTTGCTTTATCGATACAATTATAAAGTAAAAGGGGAGATAAAGGGGAAAAAGACACTACACTATCTTTAACAGGAGAACCAACATTTTACGTAAGCACTTGGTTAGGCTAAATAAAAACTTCCCATATGTCTGGTAGCCTTGTACCAATGGGATTTAACCAAGTAATGATTTAACCTGCATCAAAAATACTTCCCAAGTAGCTTCTCAAGTGACTTTTTCCGGCATTCTTTTATTATTATGATTAATTATTGATTTTTAGAAGGGGGGGAGAGGCATAGATTTGTCGCTCCACCCATTCATGCATTCATTGGTTGATTCCCATATGTGCCCTGACGGGGGACCGAATCCGAAACCCTGGCGTATGGGGACAATGCCCTAACCAAATGAGCTACCCAGCCAGGGCTTGCCAGCATTCTTATTCTATTTAGAGTAAATGCAAACTTTGTAAATGCTAAGAAATTGCCAATGGCATAATCATCATCTAAACTTTTCATATATTAGAATTAAGACTACTTCTTTTTCTAAGAATTTGTTGTTGCAGAGAAAGTGAGATTTCTTCAAAGTTTAGTGAGTTTTTTTCAAAGTTTTATACCTTAGATATTACCTTTGTGGTCGCATAGACTGGGTTTAACCCTAGCCCCATTTCTTGCCAGCTAGATAAGCTTGGATAAGTTTTTGAACCTCTCCAGATCCTAGTTTCTTCCCCTATAACATGAGGATAGCAATGCCTACAATGAAGGATGGTCGCAAGGATTAAATGAGGGAAAGTGCATAAAGCTAGCGTCATGCATGGCATCGTCACTGCTTGGTAAGGAAAAGCAGCAGCCGTTATCATCACTATTGCTGAGATTCTATCACCTAACTGTCTGCCTTAATAATTTCTTGACCTCTTTTTGAAACAAGTAAACATCAGAAGAAGATCCTATAATGTCAATGTGTGTCTCAGAAAAATTAATCAGAACCTGATGGTACCTCCATCTTAGTTGTTCACATGCCAACTTAATATTTCTTTTCTCTCTCTTTTCCTTTCCTTCCAAATCAAATGTCTCTTTTCTAAGCTCAAAGTGAAGGGCATGTGAATGTTTCTCAATATACTCTTTTACAAGTTTTTCATTGTTTGGCTGCAAACCATCTTGAGCATTTTTTATGCAAATTGTGGTAATTTCACCATCCACTCTCTCCTGACATAGCACATGAAATCTTTTCGATGTGGATTCATAAAAGCCTTTCTTTTTCTGGTAAAGGAAAACATCTGTATCAAGAACAAGTGTCTCTCCACGTCTAGTAGTCTCAGGCACTGAGGACCTGGGTGACTCCAAAGAGTTACTACTTCTCTGTAGACTCCTTCTGGGACTCTGTCTATTCCACTTTTTCTCCTCATTGATAAAACTCCCATTTTTTTCTAACAAAGAACTTGCTTTTAATAGCAAAAACTCATGGAGCTTCTTGATGGCCAGAAATGATCCTTGAACGGAGATTCTTCCATTGTGTTCCAAAGGATGGAAGCATAAACTTGGAAGTTTCCTTTTCAGGTCCTTCACCAGACTTTCCAGAGGGACTTGGCACCGAAAAATGGAGAGATCCAGATTAGCACATACAGAGCTGAAAACCTAGAATTAAAGAGAGAGAGAAATTAAAACAGCACTGCGTAGTGGAGCAGACGACATAAACACATTCTTTTTCTGCCACTGTCTCTGCAGCAGTTGCCCTAAACCAGCCCCCAATTCCCTAACAGACTGACTTCTTGTGCCACAGCAGCCCATCAAAGGGATCCCACAGCCCCATAGAGCCCACAATGTTCACCTTGGGACTCATGGTCCCTCGCTGCATTCCCCAAAACAGCTGGTCGAACTGGTCGAATATTTTTTAGAGGTAGAATGCTTTTTCAAAACAAAATCTTAAGCAGAATCCATAGGTATACACTTTTCTGGTTCTGCTCTGAGGATAGGAGTCCCCCTAAAGAAGCCTCAAGTTTGAAATGCATCAGATGGCTGCACAGAACCCTGGGTTTCTTACCAAATAAAGGTTTAAACCAATGCTTTGAATTTTAACTTTTCTTCTGATTTTTTCCTTTCCTGCACCTTCAAAGTTTCTTTTTAATGTTCATGCTAATTGGGTTTTTGCTTTTTTTCCCCAAAATAAGCCTTTAGGTAGATACCTGACATCATCCATGAGAGTATAAAAAGCTCACTATCACTTTAAAAGCATCAAGTGAAATATATAGAAACATAAAAGCAAATCAGGCAGGAACCAAAAATGTTAAGACATGGGTTTGGCCTTTAACACTGACTCAGGTTAGGGAGTCTGCGTTTTCTTTCCTAGAAGCCATGAGGTAACAGTGCTTTGTTCTCCTACGTATGGAACACTATGCAGAAGAAATGGGGTCCAGGACTACCCGCAGGCCTTCAGCATCACACCTTACCTTCTCACTAAAATGAGAGACTGTGAGTTGAATGGGTCCAACCTTCTCTGCCAGATTGTGTTTCTTTTTTCTGATGACATTCTCTGCAACTAAGTGTAAACAATGCGGTCAGAAGTGTTGGTGGCCTGATACACTAATAATTATTTTAATTAATAATAATAGAAATGTTCAACTCTGTTATTTAGAATGCCTAAGTTTTTTTCTACATTTTTCCTCTAAATTCAACTTTTAAATAGTTTTCTTTCTACTTTATTACATTAAAACTCATTTATGTGTAAATATGATCCTAATCATACTTTAAAAAATACACATAGGCATATATATATATGAATAGAAAACACACACCTAAATTAATCTCCCACTCTGTTCGTTATAGCAGGAAGAGGCCTCATCTTCTTAAATCCGGGGTGCCACACTGTCCTGCTTTTCCTCTAATTCAGCCTCCTTTGCTAATTCTCCCCCTCTTCCCATCTTCTAGATCTTGTGCATGCCTACACCTCAGGCCTCATACCTCATGCTAACCTACACCCACCCCCTGGGTGATCCATGGATTGAGGTACTATTTCTACAGATATCACCTGATTTTTTTTAATCCTCACCCAAAGACATGCTTAGAGAAAGGAACAGGGAGGGTCAGGGAAAGGGAGAAACATCGATGTGAGAGCAAAACATCAATAGGCTGCCTCCTGCATGCCCAGTACCAGGGATGGAGCCTGCAACCCGGGCATGAGCCCCGACTGGGAATTGAACTGCAACCTTTTGGTGCCAGGGACAACATCCAACCAAATGAGCCACACCGGCCAGGGCTATTTTCACATATATTCTTACTAGTGCAATATTATGCCACTTTCATATTCAGAACAGAATGCTTTTTAAAGCGACTTTAAACTTTACCAATCCCATGATTCATTTTAATGAAATTCTATTTTCAATTTTATTACAGATGTATTTCTAAGATTACAGAAATTTGATTTGGAAATACCTTCTTTTTCTTTGAATGTTACATATGCAACTCCCTTGATTCCTGTTGGATACATCACATCTTCAACAACTCCGCCCTCATTCTTAATATCTTGGAAGTGACTCTTCAGTAATAAGGTCAGTGATAGATCATTATAAAGGCCAACCGGCAGACCAGCAACTACAACCGTTCTTTCAGAAGCTTTGGATTCCTTGACATTCAAAACTGATGCCTGTAAGAGAAACAGTAGGATGCTCTTTAAAATATGTAAGATTCTACTTAATATAAGCAACATAACACCCCAGTGGGAGAGGTTATTTTATTCAACAAACGTACCAGTGCAGGTAATTAGATACTTTACATGACAGATGATAGATAGGTAGGTAGGTAGGTAGATGATGATAGATGACTGATGATGATAGATAGATGATAGATAGATGATGATGATAGATGATAGATAGATAGATAGATAGATAGATAGATAGATAGATAGATGATAGATAGATAGATAGATAGATAGATAGATAGATAGATAGATAGATAGATGATAGATAATAGATAGAAGATAGATGATAGATAGATAGATAGATAGATAGATAGATAGATAGATAGATAGATAGATAGATAGATAGATATAGATGATAGATAGACAGATAGATAATAGATAAAAGATAGAGGGATAGATCCTTGCCTCACACCATATACCAACATAAACTGTGAATTTGAAAGTTAAATGAAAAAAGTGAACCCTTTAATTTTTTATACATTGAAAACATTGGTTAATATTTGTCTGATTTTAGGAAGGCCTAAAAATAATGGAAATCACAAAGGGAAAGATCAAGAGAAACACATTTGAATTAAAATTTTAATTAAAAATGTAAATTATACAGAAAAAGCCAAGCTAACCACAAAATATGGTAGTTTTGGGATGGCTATATGTTTTGAGAGTAGAGTTCAAAGAACAAAGCCAATAAGAAACACATCCCCTACATTTTTTTGGTCAGAATCAGGAAAAAGTCACCATAAAAAAATAAAACTTTGGCAATAATACTGGGGCTGCGATGGAGTAAATCCTGCCTTCAAGCACATATCTGAGATGGAATTGAACCATTAGGAGTATGCCATGGCAGACCCTGCCACCACTCTGGGCACAAACTACCAGCTACACCTAGATCCTTCCCTGGGCTTCTGTTAAACATCTTAATTTGTTCCTCCGTCTATTTAGGGAAATGGACCCACAAGCTTCCTCCAATGCTTATAGGCAGTCTAGCCTGATTGTACCAGAGCTCAGACATAATCTATGCTAACTTAACCCAGGAACGACAGCATGTCTCAAGAGCCTGAGTAATGGTTAACAGATCACAAAGATGTTTGGGGCTCTCAGTTGAAAGAACTCTGTACTCAGAGTAAGACTCCACTGGGGATAGGCAAACTACTTCTGACCTCCCAGGTCAAGAAGATAGCCTAAGTACACACACAGTGTCCTGTCCATCCCAGAGACACCTTAAAATTAAAGTAAAAAATAAATAAGTAAATAAACCCAGTTAAGGGGAGCAATACACACAGGACAGATTTCAACAATCTGGAAGACTGAAAATACAGAGAAATATATGGGAAGATAAGGCAGAGGGAAGGATCTAACCCAGAATAAGGAAAAGGGGTTGCAGTGAAAAGGAGACGAACTTCATGGCAGAAACTCAGAAATGAAAAAGGGACAAAAATGGAAAGAGCAGTCGAAAGACTTTGGCAAAACAACTGCTTCAGTTGTCTCCTCACATTCCCAGATGTGTACACACACACACACACACACACACACACACACACACTACAATGCAGGCAGCTGAGCGACAACCTGGGGGGGTGGAAACTCGAGGATTATTTTGCTTTAAAAAAACAACTGAATGAACACTCTACAGAAAATCTGACCTGCAGGTGTGGGTGCTGGCACCCCAGGGCAAGTCCCCCCCCCCACTTTCTGGCGTTGGAAGGGGACTCAGCCTAAAGATCGTAAGTAAACTAGCATTCTGTGATTTGGAGTACATTATGGAACAGCAGAGAGGGAGAGGGAAAGGAGGGAGAGGGAGAGG